TTTGGAAGGGTAGCAGCCGAGCATCTGGGCAGCACCACCTTTGCAGCTCCAATCGGCCTTTGAACAGGATTACCTCCTTGGCACTGCAGAGATCTGAGCCGAGTGTCAAGCCCCAGCTCCACATGGAGGTAGCAGCCAAGCATCTGGACAAGTCAGCACCAGCCACTCCATATAATGCCACCATTTCAGGCTACCCTGTGTCGGAGAGAGCCAACAGTCAGATGTTTGTGATGGATGTGATTGCCACCACCCAGTTCAAGGCACAAGCCAAGCTGTTCCTGCAGCAGCGCTTTGAGTCGAAGACCTTCCCCACCTACAAGGAGTTTAGTGCCCGCTTCCCCCTCACAGCCCGCTCCACCTACTACATGTGGAAGCGTGCCCTGCATGATGGGCTGACCCTTGTGGATGCATGAGGTCCACCTGGCCATGGTTCTCCATTGATGTGCCCTGTGACCTGCTGGTGGGGTGTCCAGGCCAGGGCCTGGGTCAAACTTCTGGTCTGGTTTTCTTTTGTTCGTAGTCTCTGATTTTTATTTTTTTCTTTTGTGTGTGGTTGAATCAGGTATGAGAATGCCTACACAGTGCCCGCTCCTGGAGATGGAAGGAGTGGGAGGCACGTACTGACTGCCCCGAAGGAGGGGGGCAGAGGGGTTTTGCCTTTGCACTCAGGGAGCAAGTAGGGGTCATAGGATTCTGTCAGGCTTCCAGTGTATGCTTGAGGTAGAGGGTTTGAAGGCCTCTCTGCCCTGGGCATTTGTTGAAGGAGTGATGGGGACATGCAGGACTCAGCATAGAGGTGCCTAGCATCCCTTCGGTGAGATGGAGGGGCTGGAGGAGTGCTCAGCACTGAGAGATAACATCTCTGATCTGTGCTCCTCCTTGTTAAGGAGGTTGAAGGCTTCACATGGTGCTGCTTGGGCTTTGTGGCTTTTAATACCTGTCCTGGCTGCCCTGATTTCCCCTAGAGGAAACAGAGGCAGGTAGAGGGAAGGGGGGTTGTTTTTTGTCCCTGGTGCAATCTATGCTGGGAACATGTTGGGCTCCCTTACCAAGCCAGAAGCTGGCATCTTTTGTAGGCACTGAAGCAGCTTTACAAGACTTCTCTGGTCATGTAGCAATTACCTCTTTTGTGGTCCTTAACCCTCTCAGAGCTGGCAGCTGCTTTATCCTCCGTGTCTTTTCCCTAGTGCCTGTGTGAAGGTGTCTGCCTGCTGTGGGGCAGAGACCAGGTGCTGCAGACCCGAAGTGTTTGCTTTCCCTGAGTCATGCTACAAGTCCAGTGTGGTGTGGCTGTCACCTTACAGCATCCCTGTGGCGGTCATGGCTGTGCACACTCAACTTGTAAGAATTAAAAGCAATAAAAACTTCCACTCCCAGTCCTGTGTGGTTCTTCCCTTGTGCATGAGGGACCAGAGTGGTCCAGTGGCACCCTTAGGCCCTAGTGATGTGATGAAGCAGTACTGAGTGCCAGCAAGATCTCACCACCATTGATATACCCCTAGAAAACGTTCTTTGTGGGGAGAATGAATACTGTGTGTGGTCTCATAGGAGGGATTTGGGGGTGGTGGGTGCTGTGGGAAGAGCCACGCAGGCCCCTGCACTGGGGAGCAGGGAGATGCTGAGCAGTGCTTGGTGCTGCTGCAGAGCTCTGAGCTCTGTGTGTCAGGAAGTAATTGGAGTAATTAGCTGCCAGTGATTTCTCACCAGTGAACTCCTCCAAGGGAGTAAGCTGGTAATTACTCTAGAATGATTATCTGTGTCTCTGAACTGCTGGGGGCTTGAGGTAGCTGCTCTCCATGGCAGCAGCAAGCTGTGAAGGTGCACAAGTCTCTAGAGCAAAGCTGTGCCTTCTCTCTACTGAACCTAGGGGATGCAGGTGGAATGTGTGACCATTAAACTCAGGTCCCTCAGGTGGCCCTGAGCTGTGGGCAGCAGCAGGGATGGGGCTGGGATCTACATCCAGCATACTGTGCATTTGCTGGGGGAGAGCCTGTGGGGACTTCCCAGCCCTCTGCAGAGTAGAGGGATGGCTCATCTTTCTTACCATTGCCTGACTCCTCTCAAATGGGGATTTTTGCACACCTTACATCAGGCTGCTGCTCTGTCATCTACTATTTTCTTGCAAAATGCTTGAGGAGATCCAGGTACGATGCTTTCTTTGTCCTTAGCTGGGTGTCTGGGTGGGGTGTCACATAAAAATAACATTCTTCCAAGGGTTTTACATGTGCACTTATACATGTTACACAGTGGGCAGAAGGGGGCATCCCATGTTTTAGTATCATACAATGGGGCCATGGTGGTTCCTCAGCAGTCAGCACCCTGAGCTTTCCCTCTGCAGGGGGCTGCAAGCTGTGCTCAAGGCAGGCACCTTCCTGTTCTGTTTCCAGCAGCCTTCACAGATACCTCCCTCCAGTGCTGAGACAGCAGCTCCTGCATGGTATGATGGTGGTGGGGAGTGGAACTCACAGCCTTCTTTTCATACCCACTGTTCTCATGCCTAAATGACAGTAAGAGATGAATTCAAGGCAGTCCTAATGGCTCTGCACTGCATTGCCATGTGCTGTCCAAAAAATTTCTCCTTTTGCCAACACAGAGAGGTGTTTAGTTCAAATGTCACTGAGGTCCCTTGCAGGTGGGCACTTGAAGCACCAACCCCAGCCAAGGTGGAAATCAAAACAGTAAGAGGAGATTGAAATGTAGAGGCTGGGGGCCATGAAGCTTATGGGGAGCAGCCTCTGCCCACCTGACACGCATAGTTCTGTCATGCTGTGTCAGACTGAGGTGGTGAGGCTCTACCTGGGTCACAGCTGCGTCACCAGGGCCAGAGTTTGGCAGGGGTGCTTGGAGTACGGGGACAGTGATGCCATCCTGCCGTTCCCTCCTGTCCTCAGGTGGGTAAGAGCACCATCCTACCTGGTGACAACACAAGCAGATGGAACAAAGGCAGATGCTGGCTGATGGAGGCAGAGGATCATCCCTGCAGTAAAACTGAATGGTTACATGGTGAGTGCTCCTGTTAAACGGGGATGTGAAGTGTGACAGCTAGCAGGGCAATAAGTCTGCCTAATAAACCATGCGACTCCAAATGACTTAATGAGCGGTAATGGCCTGCAGCTGGGAAGAGCTGGTCCGGGTGCCATTCCTTGGCAGTGCAGGAGCTCTGCTGTTATGGCTGTGATGGGCAGTAGTCTCTGTCTGGAAGCTGTCCTTCCCCAGGGCTCAAAAATTAGCAGTCTTGAAATTTAGCGTGCAGCTAGCTTAGCAATTGGCTTTCTGGATGCGTTTTTCATGATAGAAGTGATCTTTACAAAAGCTCCTGGATCCCCAGTGGTCTCCCTTACCTTCCCATTAGCAGAGCTGCCTTAGGCAGTCCTGCAGTGGGTCTTTGCTTGCCCCAGGCTTCTGCAGCTCCTGGGGGCATGAGCAGCTCCTAGGCCTCACTGGGACTTCGCTGGAAAACGTGCAGCCACAGGACAGAGAAGTCAGTGCTGCCATACAGATCCGAGCCAGCAAACACAAAAACAATTAATTATTGAGAAAATGTATGTGGGGAAGGGAGGACAAGATGAGGAGAAAAGGAGATTATCTGGATCAGTCCCCTGAGTAAGCCTCTCCATTCAACCCCTTTGCATTTCCCACTGCTCAATCCCATCCCAGCACCACTGCTCTGGTCTGCTGAGTTGCTCAGTTTTTTTTACTTCTATTCTGTATTTCCAAATCCTCCTGATTTTGTCTCATTAGCAAATGTCACCAGTGCATCCCTCCTTCCTATGCTGACTTGCTAATGTAAATGCCGTAGAAGATCAATCCTCATGCTGTTTCTTGACAAACAGATCTTCTACAATATTAATAGCCCATTAAAACCCATCATCGCTGTTTTGGACCAGTTATGCTTGACCACTGGTACCCGGTACTGTACCTTTCAGCCAAAATCCAGGTGCTGCATTCCCTGCTGTTACTTTTCTACACAACAAGGATGCTGATGTGTCATATTGTTTTAGCACAATCAAAATCTGGAAAACACATGAATTTTGGAAAAGAACTCCATGAGAGTGCTGCAGAGTGGTGCCCAACCATTCCCAAGCATCCCCCCACCTGGGCATGGTGGGGACATGGGGGCAGAAGCAGGGTGGGACAGCTCAGCCCCATGGCACGTTCCTGTGTTGAGGATAGTGGAGGAGGGGTAATGAGCACCCTGCTCTCAGAGCTGATGCTCTTGGCCCTTGATTGGCTTTTCTCCTGAAAATCTTCCCCTAGGTCCCAGAGAGGTGGTGTGGCTGTGGGCTGTGTGCGCCCTGCTGCAGGCTGTTTGTGGGAAGAGAAGGGGAGAGGGGAGGCTGCCTCAGGGATGTGCTGAGATGCACTGTTTTCCTTGATTATTTTTTTTAGCAGGAATAGAAAATTTATCAAATCTCACTTAATTAGCTATTTCCACACTGAATTGATGTGAAGGAAAAACACTGGCTGTGCCATTAAAAGCAGAGAAGAATGGATTGTGCTTGTTTTCCTCCAGCTCCTTCCTTGCCATCCCCAGAGGACACACATGGAGTGGCAGTGGCAGTTTTGCCCCAAGATCAGCTCCTCCTAGGAAGGGGCTGTGTCTGCCCATACACACAGACGGGCAGATGGACACCCTGCACTGTGCCCTTTCTGGCCTTGTGGTGCCACCAGCCCAGGACAAGGGTTAGAGGTGCTGGTAGGACCACAGTGCTGAGTTGGGTATTTTTGAGCAGTGGGCCTGGGGGGCTGCAGGATCTGCAGCCTCTGTGGGGGAGGCTCAGTTGCAAATAGGTGTCATAATTTAGATTAATACCCTCTGGGGTCAGGACACCCATGGAACTCTGCCATGGAGCTGAGGATACTGAGGGGTACTGGGGGAGAACAGGAGGGAATAATCTCTTCTGTGCCTACTGATTGGTTTTAATTTTTTTTTTTTTTTTAATTTTTCTTAGCTCAGTCTCATTTCTGGATCTCTCCTGTTCTCTGACTGCTGTGTTCACTGCGTTTCTGCTTGTGCTCCGGCAGCTGCAGCAGACGCTGGGCATCTGTGATAAGTTATTCAGCATCAGTCTCTGTGCTGGTCCTCAGATTTCAATTTCCACGTTTCCCTTCAGGCTGTTTCCAACTAATTTCTCCATTTGCATAATACCTCCCTTAGGGATGTGCTTGCTCGGCCCCTTTTCCCCTCTTTACAAGTTCATCAGAGATTCAGGCTATTAGTGGAAAACACTTTAATTCTGTTGGCCCTCCAGCCCAGTCCTTTCCCCTGTGCCTCCAATTAAAGAAGGGGCAGGAACGAGACATGGAAAGAGTTAGGAATGCTCCTGCAGGGACGAGGAGCTGGACTCAAAGGTATGCGGGGGGATCTTCCTTGAACACATTTTATTTGAAGCTTTTCCTCCAGGCAGAGCAGCCTGAACAGCAATACTCCAGCCTCTCTCTACCAAGTTCTTATTCCCCCTCATGGCCAACAGCCCATCCCCATTGCAGCATAGGCTGCTGGCTGTGATGCACGCTGCAGCACGGCTCCCCCCACGCTCCCCAGCCACCAGCTGGATGCTCATCTCCATGGGGAGCCACAGAACACCTCCAGCTCTTGGCCATCTGAACGCTCCCACAGCAGCCTGCAGAGCTCACCTCTTCCCTCTGCAGCCCTGCGTTAGCGCAAAGTGTTATTTTGCCTGCTCTTTTATTAGCTCTTCCACATTATAAAACATAATGGGAACTTTCAGAACTGCTTCTGAACAGGTCTCTGATGTGCTTCTCTCCTTTATGGCTCGAGTACAACAGGAATTGCAGATATTAACATGCTTCTTTAGGATGAAATGTACATGTGAGGAGCACACTGTGCCACTTGCAGAGGCAGCAGCAGAGGGGTGAGAGGGCACCAGGGAAGGGGTGAGGAAAGGCCTTTGAACCAAGTGCTTTGGGGCAGTCACTGCCTTAGTGTCCATTCCTGAAGCACTTGGTGTGTCACTGACAACATACAAATTGGCAGAAGTCAGTTGTAGGTATGGATGTACAGTACTTCCTAGTCAGCAGAGGCCTTCGGACAGATGGAGATGCCCCTCACCAAGATTTGGGAAGGTTGGGGTCTCCCCATTTCCTTTGCTCCCCCCAGGCCTCCTCCTCTCTGGATCCTTGCTTCCAGCACCCACCTGAGCTCTGCATGCCGTGCCAGTCTTGTGCTCCCCACTCCTGGTGTGCAAACCCCCAACTCAGTGTTGAGAGTCAAGATCTTCCCCCCATACCCTGCAGTCATGTTTTGGGCAGCAGTTCCCACTGCAGATATCTCCAGATCACCATGGGATGCCAGCCCTTCTGGAGCTCTGAACTATTGGCACAATCATTGTGAACACTGGAAAACCTGGTGGGTTGAGAAGGCTAGCTACTGTACGTCCATCTGGAAAGGATTCAGAGAGCACCCCAGAGCATGCCTTTTGGTCATGTTCATGCTGCTGCACCCTCTTCCTTTGCTGCAGCTGAAGGGCCAGGTGCCACTCATGGCACTGACAGGAGATTGTTGTCCCCATCATAGGAGTCCTGAATCCACACCAGGGCCTCAGATGCCCAAAAGATAGAGCAGTCGTTCCTCTTTGCCCGTCCCTTTCATGGGCAAAGCCTGGGCATCGGTGGTGGCTGTCCCCACTGCAGGGCTGGGAGATGAAGTGGTGGGCCTGGAGCAGAATGGTGGCAGCAGCCAGCAGCAGCTTTTACACATCTTCCAATTTGGTCCCCTGGTCCCAGCGTTCCGGTCACTACTCAGTTCCCTGCTGTTAGATGGTGTCACCCCACAGTATCAGGGAGGAAACAGAATAGTTGAAGCTGGAAAAGGACTTCCAGGGGGCATCTGGTCCAAGCCCTGCTCAAGCAGGACCTCCTAGGAGCTGCTTGCCCACAGCAAGGTGGCTTTTGAGTATCTCCAAGGATCTATGTGTGTCTGAAAACGGAAAGAGCTGGCACAGGGTATCGAAGGTTGGGTCCTGCTATGCTAGAAGCCCTTGCAAGCACTGGCACCCTGTGCTTCACAGGAAGGCTTGATCCCAGGAGGACTGGTGGCTGGGGACCGTGCTGGTGTGCAGGCAGCAGTTACACGTGGCCTCCCTTGGAGAGATATGCGATGAGTGCCACCACCACCCCGACGTACACACCTGTACCGATGGTTATAGAGAGCGCGGCAAGGAAGAGAGCTCGGCGGGAAGCTGAGCTGGCCAGGTGGAAATCTCCTTTGGAGACAGCCTTGCTGGTCTGGAAGGAGAAGAAGCACACACCACTGTACCTTCTCACCTGTGTGCAACACAGGTTCAGGCAGCCACAAGCAGAGGGATGGATGTGCACGAGCTGGAGCATGCCTCATTCAACTGCTGAAGCTAAAAGTGGGATCTACAGGCACCCAAGTGCCTCCCTCACCAAAAACATGGCAAATCAGAGGTCCATACTCTTCTATTCAAAGCAAGGAGTCTGAGATAAGTGGCCTCTCTGTTGTCCCCTCTGCAGATGTCCCTCTCTGTATGAACCTGAGAAGAGCCCTAGGCTAGCGCTGTGTTTTTTGATACCTAAATTTATCGTGGAGTGCATTCTAATGTGGTTATGTCACTGTGCTTTGCGAACAGATTTTGGTGCCTTGAGTGGGCTAAGTGGGAAGTCTGCTGATGCTCTGCATTTTTGCTGATCACTCTGTATTTAAAAAGATCTCAGGAAGAATACTGTGACTATATAGGAGCTGTGGCTTATGTGCTTTCTAAGTGTACAGCTGAATCAGCTGGCTACCTTATCCCAGGAGTGCTAGGAGAGCAACAAACTGAGGGAGCAATAGGCCATTTAGAATCATAGAATCATTAAAGTTGGAAAAGACCACTAAGATCATCCAGTCCAACCAGCAGCTCATCCTCACCATGTCCACTAACCACGTCCCTCAGTGCCACATCGACACGTTTCTTGAACACCTTATGTTTAATGACATTTAAAAGATTTTGTCTGATTTTGAATCTGAAGATTTTGAATCTTCAGCTGAAACCTATTGACAAAGAAGGGCCAGTGAAGCCAGTGATGGAGGTAACATGGGTGTTAGCTCACTGGCTGGCAACTTTCAGCTGCCCTGTGAGCTCAGGGTGTACTCAGAGCTGCTGTCAGTATTGCTCATGGATGGTGCTCTAGTTGACCTGTTAAAATCAGGGCAGCCACTGTGCACAGATATGGCCAAAAAGATACTCTGCCCCACAGAGTGAGTCCGAGTGGTAACTATAGCAGAGCTAAGTTTGAATTGTATGAAGCACATTATCACATGGAGAATGCAGCATGCCATGCTTTATCATGTGCAGAAACATGAAATCAGCCACTTTGCAGGTCCCAGTCCTCTCACTGGCTCTGTTCCAGATGCTACTGTTACACACTTATGAAGCTTTCCAGCTTCACACAGCCTGGTGCAAGCAACCAGAATTTAATGATTGAGGAGCAGAAAGAAAGGTATGGTGATATGGGGACCAGAGTCTCCAGCATGTCTGGTCTGTAGGGCATGAGCAGCAGATGGGATCACAGAGCAGGGTCTCATTACTGCTGGAGAATGGGAAAGCAGATGGAAAATGCCATGTTCCTTTGCTTTGGAGGGCAAGACCCAGGAGCAACAAGAGCCCCAGTTCCCTAAATAACAGCTGAATGCCCAGGAGAGCAGTTCAGCTGCCAGCAGCTGAAGGACTTGCATTCCCACAGCAGCTATGCAGACATCCAGGAGCAAGCAGCACTCTTTGCCTTGGCCCTCAGGGGTCGGGGCACAGAGATGGGCAAAAGGATGACCTATGTACTGCAGGACCCTTTGCTGCAGGGCTGAGCACATGCAAGAGAGCAAAGGAGCCCATGGCCGGGGATCTCTTACCCCTTGGGAGAAGTAGAACGCAGCAATCCCCAGGGGCCAGAAGCAGCACAGCATGGAGAACAGTGCCAGGCCCAGGTGGTCTCGGGGGGGGAGCATCAGGAATTGGTCCTCGCTTTCGCTGTCACTAGAGGAGTCGCTCTGCAAAGACAAACAAAGTCAGGGCCTGCAGGGAGCTGCACCCGCACCTCCGTGAGCTGCCCTGCAGCCCAGCAGGCCCAGCCACTGCTCCCAGTGACCCCACATGCCCCGCAGCCCTGTCCTTCCTCCCAGCCCCTGCTCAATCCTGCTCCAGGTCCTCACACACCTCCCAGCTTCACATTCAAGGCATGAGTTTCAGAAATCTTCTGGCAGCTCAGCTGGGTTTGGTGAGGAAAGTCGTGGCTCAGCACATTCAGGAGCTTCGGCTCCCTGCCAGAACATTGCTGAGCTCACCGGCTGGGGTCTAGGATTTCCCTGTGAGATATTCTTACACTGAGATATCTGGAGCTTTGGCGGAGCTGGCCGTTTGTCAGCTTAAACAAACTTAAACAAAGTGCTTTAACCCCATTAGGGACCGGTAGATCGATATCCTGCTAAACTAATTTAGAGATTGAAGGAAAGCGGTTGAATTGGAGCCTCCATCACACAGGCAGTGTGTCCTGTCCTCTTAGCAATCCCATTTCTCACGTCACTGCCATCAACTTGCCTCTGTTTGGCCACGGCCTGCCCAGCTGAGCTGTTTGGCAGCGATGTGTGCTGAGGGAAGCCACAGAGAGGTGGGGAGAGCCAGGAAAGTCACGCCACAGGCCCTCAGGGCAGCAGCAGACCTGTGCCAGCAGATGGGCACTGGCTCCAGCATGCTCTGGGGACCTGCCAGGTCCTGGGTAACGTGCAGAATGAGGCTGCTTTGCCAGCTTTATCTTTCCCTGCAAGATCCATCCTGCTTTGATATATTAAGCTTCCTTGCACTGACATCACGCATGTGAATGTCGCTGTTATGCAACAGGAGCGCTATTTCCCGTTACATCCAGCAAGACGGTGGCCACAGATTGCCCTTGTCAAAGGGCTCCTGTCATCATAAGCATGCTGCAGAGACGGCCCCAGCTTCCAGGCTGCCAGCAGAAAAGCTGGTGACCTTCTGAGATCCATGCCTAGGGGAAAGAGTGGGAATTTTAAGCAGAAAGAAGAAATTCTGGGTGCACAGAGACTGAGGAGACAGGAGAGAGTGGGGTCTGGGAGGGCAGCCAAGCACTTGGCCCAGTCACCACAGGAGGTATGTTATGCCAACCCTCTGCACAAAGCTCACCTCGTACTCCTGGAGCTCCTCCTCCTCCACTTCATAGGACACTGTTTGGATTCGGATGTCACTCTCTACCAGGCAGGACCCCTGTGCATCATGCCCATCAGGACTGTCAGACAGAACCTCTTTACCTTCTGTAAAAGTGGTCTCACAGCTCTCTGTCTTGCTGTCCTTTGCCTTGAGAGCAGTCTCATCTTTCACAAGGATGAAATTGGGACCATACAAGGCTTCCACAGCCAGCTGCAGGGAGCTGGCATCCAGCAGCTGGTGAGTCCTGGCTCCGCCAGTGTTTTGGAAGATGTAGGAGTACAGTTTCCCTTGGTAGTGGTGGCCGGGGTAGTCTTGGCTGTGGTGCTGGTGGTAAGAATAGCTGCTGTGGAGGTGCCCGTTAGCCTTGGCCAACAGCGGGTCCTGGAGCTCACGCACACTCTCCATGCTGCTGGCAGGGTAGGAGCAATCCTGTGGAAGCAGAGAGCAGATGGGGCTGTAACCTCCACACGGCAAGGCAGTGGGGAAGCTATTGCCCATGCAGAGCCAATGTCAAGATGAGCAAGGCAAGAGGGAACAGGATTTGGCAGTGTTAAGGAAAAGAAGAGCCCTCCCCCACTTCCCACAGCCTGAATGCTCTCCTACCAAAATGAACATCTCCTCGTCCCTCCCCAGCTGGTAGGAAGATAAGGATCCAGCCGTGCAGCGAAGCGATCTGGTTCAGGCTGGATTAAGATCGCCGTGTCCATAACACATCTCGGTATGGCCGTGTGCAGCCTGATGGGAGCAGTCCCTCTGCATCTTTAGAGCTGGCTCATAATCTGTACTGCTACAAAGTATGATCAGATAGTGGTTTCATGGACATGGGACAGTCTCTAGGGGCTCTTTTGTGGCTGGGCTAAAGCTGGGCTCTGGGGAGGCAACAGTTTGAGGAAAGCCAGGAACCCTCAGCTACCGGTGCCAACACTGGTTTCTTCCTCAGGAAAATTCCAATCCTTACTCCCTTCCTCCATTTCAGAGTGCTGAAACACTCTGCTGCCTTTTTTTTTTTTTTTTTTTTTTTAACATGAAATTTTCTGAGATGAAACATTTCAACCCTCTTTCTTCAAAGGAGCGCTTACTGTTTTGGCTTTCCAACCCACCTCAGCACATAGAAAATGTGCAGCGAAATATCAGATTCCCCCAGGAGAGAGGAATGATCGCTTTGCGCTGCTCAGTATCCGTGTGCCCTCTTTTCCAGCCCTCTCCGCATGCTCCCAGCTGCTGGAGCCTGCCACCCTCCTGCCTTACAGCCCCAAATGTCACTCTGCTCCCCAGAGACCTCCGCAGCTGCTTCCTGTGCTGGATGCTGCAAAGCGGAGCACACTGTTACCTGCCATAGGGCTCCCTGCGGTGCCCTATCGATGGCAGGCACATTGCTTTGGCTTCAAATCAATCCTCAGAAAGAAAATATAAATGAAGAAGTTGGAATTGAGGACTCCAGGGAGCAAAAAGCCCAACTGCTTCCCACAAGGCCCCGTTCACTCGGCCAAATTCTGCCGTACTGCACAGTTTTTAGTGCCACAGCCCGTTGTAAATGTCCCTGTTGATGGGCTTTGTGTTGGCAGCAGTTGGCACATTTTAGAAAGCTGTTTAGGAAAATGAAGCCATTCAAAAGCACTCCCACATCGCTAAAACACTGCATGAGTGCTCTCTACACCTCCCTCCCCAAAATCATTGTCTGCTTTCTTTACCCTCCCACCTTGCCAATAAGGTACTCAATGGCTCACGCAGCAGATGGCCAGGAAGTATTTCCACAATATTTAAGGCTGATGCACGTTGGCATCACAGATATTTTCATTTCCTGCACAGACCAAAATAATTATGCTTACCTCAATATGCAAATCAGATTTGCAACAACATCATAGAACCATAGAATGGCTTGGGTTGGAAGGGACCTTAAAGAACCAGCGCCTTGATGTGGGCAGGGTTGTCATCCACTAAATCAGAAACTAGATCAGATTGCCCAGAGCCCCATCCAACATGCCCTTGAATTCCTCCAGGGATGGAGGAATTTTTCTTTATAAAATAAACAATTAGGACTGACCAGTCTCTGTGCATCACCTGAGAGTAGCAGCCAGCCCAACTAGGAGCCCAACGCCAGCAAAGCTGCTGGTTGTGGTGAGGTATCAGCATCTCCAGGAACATTTCTGGCTGCACTACCAGATGTGCTGGGAGGGAGCCGGCAAGGGGATGCTGCAGGTGTGGAGGCTTCTGCTTATCACAGGCGAGGCCATCAGCACTGATTTTGAGGAGGGGGAGATGACTGCTTAGAGAACTCATGCACAGTGTGAGGGACAGAAAGAAGGGAAAGGGGCTGTGAGGAATTAAGAACCCAATAGCCAGCCTGGGAGGAGCAGGGAGTGTTCAGGATGGGAGCTCTGAAAAACAAGCAGAGATTGAACACAGTGAAGCCACCAGTAACTCACAGCAGAACTTCAGCAAAAAATAAAAGCCAGGAGAAATGACGGGGCAGAGCAGGAAGAGCACCCCTACACAGCTGGGCTACTGCTGGGCACCTAGGGCATCTCAGGGGGTGGGGTCGGATGATGAGACATGGGCTGGCTGACTTGAATCACATCTAAGAGCACCCCAGGATTGGAGAGAGTGACCTGCACTAAACTCCTTTCCTTGTTGTCTTTCACTCTGAGGGGTATATGATGATTCAGAGCCTAGTGGAGATCAGGGCTATAAAAACACTGCAGGTAATATTCAGGTAGAAATTGCAGAAAGAGGGAGGCAAGCGCCAGCTATATGTGTGCAGGAATAGACAGAGCTTTCCCAAACCCTATGTGATTTATTGGGATCGTACACTGGGTCTGGGAATGAAGCAGGCTGATGAAAGCAAAGACATAAAAGCCCAACTTGGGAAGAGCAGACACTCTCCGTCCTCATTACAAGCATGACAGTGTAGCATGGAGAGCAATTAGCCCTGTGATGCTGGCAGCAGGCAGCAGCAGCGAGATACTCTCAGGCACAAGGTGCCCCAATATAGGTGCACACATGGCATAGGGGCATAACACCCTGGAGAACACAGAAACCCGTGCCTCAGCCCTGCACGCTCCCTGCAGTCAGGCTCAGCACTGTGGCCAAGACAATGAGTGCTGCCCCTGCAAGCTGCCTCTTCACCCTGAGCACCACAAACATGTTTCCCAGAGAAGCTGTGGGAGCCCCATCTCTTGGGGCACTTGAGGCCAGCCTGTATGGGGCTCTGGGCAGCCTGACCTGGTGGGGGCCAGCCCATCTCTTGGGACTGAGGGGACTTTGAAGTCCTTTCAACCCAAGCCTTTCTGTGATTCTGTGATTCTATAAACCATTGGGCCAGGCTCTCCCTGGCTCTCCTGGTTTCCTTGCAGAGCAGGAAAATTGCTTTGAGTACTGCGATCTTTTCCAACCAGGTATAGAAGGAACCGAAATAAGGCACGACAATGAAAACATACCAAATTCGGCTCCGTGCGTCACGCAGACCACCTCCACACCCCATCCCTCTGGCTGCCCCAGGTTGGCGGTGCAGCACTCTCTGAGACCCTCGGCACAGATGCTGCCTGCGATTAGTCCAGTTAATGATGAATTAAGTGGTTGTTCCAGGAATCAATCATCAGCTAATTGCCTCGTCAAGCAAACACTCTGCCCTACTCCTTGGGCTCATTAGAAGGCCGTGATTGCGCTGTGTCCTCGCATTCCCGAGCGAGAAAGGCAGTCTAGCCTGGGCTGGGGTACCGGGCAGGTCAGAGCGCTCAGGAAAAATGGGAAAAAACAGCAAATCAGTCCCTGGGGTGGCTCAGCGGCAGCCGCTCCCCCCGGCCGCCGTGGGGAGAGGTGGCCGCTAGGTGTCCCAGGCGCTCCATGCAGCGCGGGGGCTGCGGGGTCCCCAGGTGTCCCCGTGCGCAGGGACCGAGTTGGGGAGGGGCAGCGGGATGGAGGAGGGCGGCGGCGATGTTACGCCTGGCTGTGTGGGTGGCGAGGTTTAAAATTAGCACGTTTGGGCCCTCTCGGTGTCCCTTTTTTAGCTGGAGAGATGCAAACGAATAAACAAAGCTGCGAGCGGGAGATCCTGCAAGATGGCTGGGGAGATGGGATGCAGGGGATGCCCCGCTGCTGGAGGCAATTGGGTGCCATGGGTGCCGGGGATGGGGCCAGGACGAGGCTAGGAGAGCTCTCGAGGTGCCGACAGCTGCGTTGGGACCTTCATCTCAGCTCCCAGGACTGGAACGCTTGCCCTCAGCCAATCTTTGCCCCCAGCAGCAAGCCCTAGCGAGCCAGTGGGAGAGAGTTGTGCCGATTGGAAGTGATGCTCTGGTGCTCTCACCAGAGGCTTCTGCACGTTGCAAAATGTTGGTTTGTGGACCAAGAGGAGTCGCTAGGGGCTAGTGCAAGTCAGCACAATGACTCCAGTGCGGGGAGGCTGTTGCTCAGCATCGCAGCTCTTGGAAGAAGCAGCCCAGGAGAGAGGTCTGCCCAGCATCAGAGGAAAGTGGCTTCTCACGTTTTCTGCCCCAGAGGAACATCAGCTTGGACCAAGTTCAGGCTTCAAACTCCCCTTGCTCAGCTCAGGATCATACTAAGGACATACTGTGGCTGCTGTCCTCTGGAGGGACACATATCAGCACCCTTCCCTCAGTGCTAATGCCTGCTTAGAAACGTCCATGAGAGCAGAGTTGCTCAGAACTAGAACTGTGAGCCTGGTGCTCTGGCCCAGACAAGCTCCCTGCCCAGATACCTGCAAGCACTGTGAGCTCCTGCCACAGGGCATCTCACGGAGTTCCCAGAGGACGTGCTTATTGCCAAGATGTTCTCACTGCTGCAGGAAGGCGAGCAGAAGCTCACGCATGTGGGTTGTAATTTTACTCATGGCTGGTTTCTCTGTGCTAGTGGTTCCAGTCTTCAGTTTCACATAGATTTTCTCCATTGCTGTTTATTCCTAGCACTGAACAGAACACGACTGCCACCCCACATGGCTCTAACTATTCTTCCAGCTTTCCCATTTCACCCATATCCTCTGCTCCAGACCCATCATCTCCACCTCAAGGCTCTCCCTCTGTCTGTGAGCTCCCCAGAGCCATGGCACCCTGACCACATCCTGTCACCCAGCTCGGGGTTGACCTGGCAAAGGAGACCTCACTGAGAGCTGAGAGCTGCACAAGGTGAGGATGAGGACGCAGCACGCAGCTAGCGATTGTCACCAGTGAGGACAGGGAAACATCCACCCCTTCCAGAGGGTTTGTGATGGGATGAAGCTCTCTCCATGTCCCCCTGCTATCAAGCAAGGCTGGCAACATACATCAGTTATTAGGAACTGCTCATTTGTCTCTGTTTAAAACACATACGTACAAATGATTCATGAGCTCCATGAAGGCTGGTGCTGCTATCACCTCCCTTCCTCACTTGCCTGTTTATGTTATCCTCTATCTGCCTTCATTCAGCTCAGGGGGATTTCCTTCTCCTGGGGCATCACTCTTCCCCTCACAGCTCAGTCGTTTCACTTATTTGCCAATAATCTGCTCTGCCTTAGTTATGACTTATACTGTGGACATGGCACATGTCTCCTTCACTTTTCCAAACCCAAAGTTTCCCACCATGGCCTGTGAATAGCATACTGATGTCCAACACACAAGCACATTGCACAGACTTCAGCTGGTACCCCAGCCAATAGGTGCTGTGCAAGCCAAATGGTGCTAATATCTGCTACTGCCAAAGAAATGGAGGCATCGGATGGGGATTTCCCCCCCGTGTTTAGGAGGCTCCCACTGGTGGCAACTACAGTTTTTCAATGTCTCTGTTAAACACTCTGCTCCAGACTCACTGGAGAACTCAGGCTGTTTTGCTGCCTTGTTCACTTCATTGACAAACAGCAGCAGTAAGGACTATTGAGAGGAAATCTATAAAGAGCTTTCCCCCCTCTCAGCACCGTGTTTTGGCTTTTCAGTCAAAAACACCAATCCTTTGCCCATCACTAACTCTACAGACAGAGAGAAGCTGGCTCAAAGTCTGGCCTAAAAAGACCCTCTCGGAGCAGTGGGCAGAGGAGTGCCAGGAGTGGTGCTCACAGGCCTGACTGCAGGGCCCCAGGGCAGGGAGGGGATCTGCACCAGGCAAAGGCAGGGATACGCTGTGCAAATCCACCGTGCTGGAGCTGCAGCAAATTACTCACTCTTTAATAACGGTGTTTATTACCTGCCTCTGATGGTGGTTCAGGGAGCTGAAGCGAAGCCTATTCAGCTCCCCAAAGCTTTCCATCTGCCAGCCATTTTCATGACAACAGAAACTTTTGCTGGAGAAACACAGTCACTGCCTTTTTGATTGGGCAATTCCTTCACCTGACAGCCCAGAGTAACCAGCCTCATCCCTGGGAGGCTGGGGCTGTGTGCCCCGTGCCTGCAGGCAGCCTCAGACCCCGCTCTCCCAGCTGCACCGTTGTTTGCCCAGTGCTGCCTTCCACTCGGAGTCTTTCTGTGGAAAACGGTTCTCCCGAGGTGGTGCAAAGGAAAATTTCCTTCTCGGAGGCGAAACAAGCAACCCAGTACAGCGTGTCGGTGGAGAGCAGTGGGTTCTGTGCAACCTGCAGCAGCTTTGGAGAACGTATCACCAACATAGCGATGGTCAGCTCCTGAGAGCAGTTCTCTTCCAAACTCCGAGCTGCAGAGGCGAGCCCGGGAGGGCTGCTCCGGGGACACACGCGGAGGCTCAGCCCGTGCGGGTCGTGTTCCGCGCAGTTCCGCACTGCCTCGGCCCTTCCGCGTCGAGCTCGCTGCCGCCGCCCTGCACGCTCCCGGGCGGCCCGGGCAGCTCGGACACCCCAGCAGAAGGGAAGCCCCAAACTTCGGAGACCCGCCGGCTGCCTCCCATTCACGCGGCAGCCCCAGGTTCCTCTGCAGCCCCTCGGCCGTAGTTAGCCTCAGAAACTTTTACCGAAACCCTTCCCTTTCGTCCACCGGCACCTACGAACGGTAATATCCCCCCGGGCGCCGCCACCCTCTCTCTCCGACTCGCAGCCCTAACAGCCCGCGACACATTTTCCCAGCCCGAGGCGTTCCCCAAAGCAAACCGCATCCCCCCCCCCCACCCCGAGCAGCCTCCCTTACCTCGGCTCAGCCGCCAAGTTGAAGCGGCGGCGGAACGGCGGCGGGCATGACTGCGGCGGGGCTGCCCGGGGCCCGGCGGGGCTGCGAGGGCTGCGGGGAGCGGCGCGGCGGAGCCCCGGGCGGCGGCGGGCGGTGCGGCAGCGCGGCGGGCGCGGTGCGGTGCGGGCGGTGCGGCAGCGGAGCCCCCGGCTGCGGCGGCACCGTGCTCCGCCGTTCTCGGCCGTGCCGTTCCTGGCTCCCGGCGGCCGCTACCGAGATCTGCGCGTCGCCAGCGCTCCTTTTCTGAGCGTGGCTTCTCCTCCCGCTGGGTTAGAGAGAGAGAGGAGGAAAGTCACTGCCTTCTCTGCTCCCTGCCTTTGGCACCGCACAGCCCCTGCCGCTCCCCTGATCGGCCGGAGGGAGCCCCCTGCAAGAGCTTAAAGGGAGAAGGGAATGGGATTTGTCGCTCTGCCTCAGCCAAGTACTATCCTGCCTTCCTCCTCAGGGACCCCGGGCAGCGGCAGGATTGGCCTCACACTCGCTGGGCAGCGCTCTGGTTGAGCGGAGTGAATCCAGATTCACACCAGTACGACACGAGATGGCACCGACCCCGCGAGTCTTCCTCTCCCCTCCTCTGTCCAGGCGATGCTCCAGCAGCTCCTCAAGCTCTGCGCTCCCCACCTGCTCCTGAACTCCCCAGAGCTCAGCTCCTCCCCCGGCTCAGCAGGAGCACACGAGGCTGAAGAGTGGCTCATCCGGGGCTTGGGACTGGGGCACCTCATCGACTCAGGCTCCCAGTGGGGTATGCATCTGTCTAGGAGCCACACGGCACTGTATCACACAGGTTGGGAGCAGGACCAGGCTCTGGGCTTTGTGTCCTCACATCGAAGACTAGCGACAAGTGTTGCAGCTGACTGGCAGCTCCCTGGGGGCAGAGCGCGTGTCCCAGGCAGCGTTGGGGAAGATTTGAGCCCAGACACCCAGCCACAGGCAGGTGGTCCCAGCCAGGGGAGAAGGATGGCAGCTGGAGCACAGAGTGCCTGCTGTTAATTTAGCAGATCCCAGAGAAAAGTGTCCCAGTTGTCCAGACCCAGCTGGCATAGCTTGGGGAGTGGTGTGTTGCACACAGCCTTCAGACCTTGAGAGGGAAACAGTGTTCATGTTTCTAGAGAGTGTGACACATGAAAAGGGGCTTGAGATTCCACAAAGGATGTTAAGGGGAAAGCAGTCCTACAGCATCTCTGTAGGCAAAGGTCTGCCAAGGCAGGTGGTAGCATGGGACTCAGTGCCTGTGGGCAAGATTTGGTGGCCGTGGCTTTCTCCAGGAGCTGCTGGTGCCAGTGGGCATGCACACAGCTGCAGGCAGCCCCATCATCTGCCTCCACTGTCAGCCCCTGCACAGTCACGTTCAGCCAGCATCTGCTAATTAGGGAGGGCCAGGAAGGAAGAACCTCATCATGCATGGCCAGCCCTTCGGCAAGGCCTGAGGGGCTCTGATGCTGCTAGGAAAAGGGTCTGCATGCTGCAGGGTAGCTGGAATGATAAACTTGGGAGTGGAAGAAGCACCTCAATCCTTGGCTTGCCAAGGCCCAGGGAACTGCCGAGGAGCCTAGATGCCCAGCAGGAGGGTAGGGACATAGCTGATGGCTGCCAGTGCTGCCTCTGCTGGCATGTGGCATCTCTGCCCCCACGAGAGGCTTCAGCAGTGCCATCCTTCACACAGGCCGTGTGCAATCACTGGCTTAAAATGCAGCGCTGCAGTTCCTCGGCTGGGTGGGGGATTAGCCCTTGCCAACTTTGCGGGCGGTACTTAGCAGCAGAGCTGCTTCTCCTGGCTGCGTGGCGATAAGGCGACATTAGCATCACAAATCTAAGCCCCGCTGACCTCGGGCAGCTCCAAAAGAAACATAGGCATTCACAGATATGGGATGTACATGCTTGTGCTAAGGGAGGCGTGGTATAAAACAGCTTGGGGGTCAGCCCCCCAGCCTGTGTCACAGCGGGGCAGTGTCCCTGGGACGTGACAGGAGCGCCATCCTGCCTGTAAAGGCTACATGACCAACAGTCATCAATGAGCCACCCCAGGGCAGTGAGGGCAAACTGCCTGCCAGCCACTTCCCCACCCAGAGAGCCAACAGGGCCAGGGTTTGAGGCAGATGCAGCAACAGCACCCAGAGCCCTTGCCCTGCTGAGCATTGCCTTGTATTTTTGCTTCCACTGGGGAGAAGGAAAGAAAAATGGATGTACGAGTGGCTCCGTGCTCTCAGCTGCAGGTGGCAAGGGAGTCTTCTGGTGAGAACGGATCCAGCAGAAGGAAATGAGATGTCATTACATTAAATATTAGCTGATGTGCTCTCACATTGGGCTTGTTATACCAGCTAAGTGATGCTTCTTTTCAAAAAATAATTAGAAAAAAATGTTGCCGTAGACATAGAATACATGAGTAAAAGGCTGTGGTAGTGTTCCAGAGATGCCGTGCACAGGAAGGTGGGCCTTTGTTTTTGATTACGTTCTATCAAACATTAAAAACTCACTGCCAACGTGTCCTGAGCTTCACAGGTTTCATCTCGCTACAGACATAACAACAGATAAATATGCCACGACAAATTTGGTAACAGTACTTTATTGACGGCCAAAAACCAGATCACTGCATGCTGCAAGCCTGAGCTCCTGCCAGCAGCCACAAGAGGAGCACTGAGATGAAAGATTCACCGTCAGGAATGGACCGAATCTACTAAAACCTGAAATAATTGGAAGGTCTCCATGAAGGTGAGGGCGCATCCTCAGAAAGAAGCGAAAGCAAGCAAGAGGAGATGAAAGGCAAACACAGCGCTCAAGAGGGGCAGCGGGGCCGCAGTGGGGACGGGAGGTGTCCGTGAGAGCCGAGCGCTGTGATCTTACGGCCGCACTGCAGAGATGGGGGAACGTGGCAGAGATTAGCTGATATTTGTGGCTGTTAAAAATGATCGGCTTAGTGAAAGCTGGAATCGAGAGAGGAGCTTTGGAGGGATCAGCCAAACCTAATTAATTGGGCAGCGTGGTGGGAGAGGAAATTAAGTGTGGACAAGTAGAAGGAGAAGCATATTGGAAGAAACGACTTCATCTCTTCATAATTGCTCGTGGTTTCTAAATTAACTGGAAGCATTAAGGGAAGAAAGATGTGGGTGGGTCTGTGGACAATAGAGTGAAAACCATCTGGTTAATGTACAGTGGTGAGGGGAAAAAAAACCACATATGTTGTCAGTTTGCTTTCATAAAGGGATACAGAAAATAATAAAAATATTACTGTATGTGTTGGTAGTGACTCAGCTGTTATGGACGAGTCCAGGTTTTCAATTAGAAGACAAATTCTGATCGTTTATGATGAAAAATACAGAAAAGCATTTTTAAAAAGCCTTCTGTAGTGGTGAAGCTCTGGGCCCTGGGGTGCAGAATGAAGTCTGTGGTGTACCCAAGCATCTCAGAGGGCTCAGGAAGGAAGATATAAGCTACAGGTCCCCCCCAGAAATGTAACAGCCAGCACAAAGGTGTGTCATGCCTCTAATGCTATTAGCACCTGATCGCTCGGTTACCTCAGTTAAAGCCCAGGAAAAGCTTGTGTCTGCGATCTGTTTGAACACCTTCCTCCTGGGATTAGTGTCATTCTCCTCCTTCTTGCTAAGCAGAAATGACAGCTGCTGCCAAAAGCACTTGAATGCATCGGAGCCTGAGGGGACGTCCCTTTGTCCCCAGCCCCCATGGTGTCTCTGGGACAGGCCTCAGCTCCACTGCTGCTGCAGGGCCTGTGGCAGAAGATGGATGGAGCAGGGAGGCTGCCTTCAGAAAGCCATTCAGAGCACCTGAATCCTGCGG